TTCGTATTTGGTGGACCTGTAGAAATGTAAAAGCTTTTTGGATTAAAATTTGGTGGAACATTCAGAATATTTTTAAAAGAAAGATAAAGTTTACTCCTCAACTATTTTTGTTGGGTATTATAGTAGATGTTGATGCTAAAGAAATTAACTTGATATTGAATTTAATAACAGCAGCAAGGCTGCTGGTAGGGCAATATTGGAAGAAGGATTGTTTGCCTACTATAGAAGAATGGACGCTTAAAGTGTCAAATTTAGCAGAAATGGCTAAGATTTCTGCTTATTTGAAGGATTACTCACAAGAAAGATACATTTCTGTTTGGAGAAAATGGATAGATTATATTCAGAATAAATATGGGACTAAAAAGTTCCATTTATTTTATGAATAAATTTTAAAGTATTATTACTGTTATTATTATTATCATTAATAGTTTAGTATAGTGGAAATTTTATGATATTGTGTTGTTTAGATATTAGGATTTTAATTTGTTTATATGATTAAGCTTAATCTTAAATTGTTTACTTTGTGTTAAAAGAGAGTTAAAGCGCATTATATTTGTTTATTTATATAGTTGGTTAATGTTAGTTAGATTATGATTATTATATTTATTACCCTGTATTCAGCTCTGGGAAGTGGGGGAGGGGGGAGGGTGGGAGGGTGGGTGGGTTTGGGGTATATGTTGTAATTTTTTGTAAAACTTTTCAATTAAAAAAAAAAAAAGAAGTGCTATATTAAAAGGCACCAAAGAATGCAGACTCTTTTACAAGTGATACAAACAAAAATTAAGTTAGGAAAGTTAGGAACCTATCCTAACATGAATGAATTTTATTATATCTTTGATTTCTACTTTGATGGAAATGTTAATTTTCATTACTAATTTTAAGGAAGATATAGAGACATTATGCTTTCTCCCGCTACATTTATTTATTTAGTTATTATTTATTATATGGCACCCGTTTCATTCTGAGTAGCAACTGATTTTCTGATTTCCAAGGAAAATTGGTCACAAGAATGGAGCAAGCTGGTTAATTTAATCCTATCCAAAATACAACATTGAAAAAAATGACCTGCAGACTCTGCCCTGTATATATGCAAAACAAGATCAAGAAGGAATGTATGTACAGATAAGAAGTATGACTTTTTTCAGAACTTAGCTCTAACCCAATCAAAGGTACTTGTATGTGGTTCTGGCTACGCAACTTTCACGTATATTGACTCAAAACTTACTACTATAGGATTGTCAAGTCCCCACTAATTTTCTTCAGGAGACAATTAAGAAGATGAAGTTGGTCCAGAATGCAATGGCCAGAGTGGTTGGTGGACAACTGCATCAGTAGCAATTCTTAGGTTGCTCAATGGATCCCAGTAGGTTTCTCAGTTCAGTTCAATGAACTGAATGGCACAGAATTAGGTTTCATCAGGCACTGCCTTGCCTATTTAGAGATGGCCAGCTAAAATATCTCCCAAGCCTGAAGAAGTAGATGGATGCCTTCTCTGATAAGCCCAGATACCTTGGGACGCAATTCTCCAAAAGATATGTTTTGCCCTTTCTTTTATTGCATTTCATAAGGAGTTAAAACCATACAGTACTATTCCAATCTATGTTTGGCTCAAAATAAAAGATTGAGGGACATCATCTTGAGTATATAAGTTAGGGATTATCATCTATTTCTGATTTTCTTTCTTCATGGCCTATTGCAGCTGATTAGGGTTACTTACAAATATATAAAAAAGCATGGTGTATTGAATATGAAATATAAAATGCATGTCAACACTGCTTTTTAAAAGAGTCTGCAGGTTAGTAAATATGAGTTATACAATGAAATCTTTTATAGCCTCATTGACAGAGATAGGAATTTCTTGACTTCCTGTGGCTGTAAAATCTGTATGATATTTATCATTAAGACATTAAAAAAAAGCAGAGTTCTCAGTGCACCTTTGTGCACTTCTTTGTAAGATATAAATATCACAGATAATATTGAATCAGTCTCAGCAAAATTCATCCAAGCAGTTTTCTTGACAAAACCATGGAAGTGATTTGCTATTGTCTTCTTCTAGGATATTTTTTTGAACTTCTTGATCTAGTTATATCCCCTGAATTTTCAAACAGTTTTCAAACAGTTCCTCCTTGCAAGTCCTAATGATGCCTGACCTTTCAGAAAACGCTGGCTATATACTATATCTAAAAACATAAGCATACTTCTAATACCTAGTACAATCTTGGAACCACACAAATTACTAAAAAGAATGTTTAAACTATGCTCGCTCATTTTACTCCATCTCACAATATATGGACACATGCATGTTTAGAAAGATATGCAATAGTACCAAAAATAATATAAGAGAGTATTAAGAATGTCAGCTAGATAACACATTCTCCTTATCTCCATTCCATATAATAATTAATAGATTAATATTATCTTAATGGTGACATTCTAGCATCACATCTAACTTCAGTCAGAATAATTGTCATTTTTAATGACACCTGGAAGAAAAAAATCAATGCTTGTATAATATGAACATTGTTCCTGTCTCTTTACAATATATACCCTCCCATAATTCTCCCTATACAGTTGTTTTCCATCAGTCTTTCTCTCCCTAGCCCTGCCTCTTATTCAATTATAATGCTTGAATGAGTCACATGCAATATTTCCAGGCTACTTTTCCTTGCTCATGAAACTTTTTAACGAAACGTTAGCATTTGCAGACACCAGATGTTTTGACATAAGGAGAGGCAATATGCAAATTTTAATCCATGCTAGGAACAATAGCCTGCAGGCACCTTTTTCTTATTACATGAATCATATAGTTAACCACTGTGTGGTGGATTGTATCAGAATCCTTGCTATCCTGAGCATTCGACACTTGTCTTGTAGTTGCCAATTAATGAAACTGATGTATATTTAAGTTGATGGGTCAGTGATTTACCAACATTGCTTGTCATACTTCACAACTGGTACATCCTTGATTAGGCTGGCAGATTTGACACTGATTAGCATCAAATCTCCCTAAGTTTGCTTCCAATCGACATTATCTGTCCATACAAATGATGCTGACACTGAATTTGATTGGAAGTCTTTTGTTAATGTCATTGTCTCTAATTAAGAAGATAGCAGACTGTGTTTTTGTAATCTGTATATTGTGATTCCATTTTCTCATGCTATTTAACTGAATTAACATATTGACCCAACTCTGCTTACATACAGATCATTCTGTGCCTTCAAACACACTAAAGCTTTTGCATCATCAGCTCCCATGTTAAATTTTCTTTTCTAGTTCATCAAATTCAAAATTAATTGAATTACAAGTGTTAATTAGTCCCACTGTGTATAACACAATAATTAAAAGTCCAAAGCAAATAAATTGGTATATGTACACTCACATACCATGCTAAATAGCCTTTTTAAAGAGTATGAATTTTAAAATATGCAAGACTGCTACAAAGCTATTGCTAGCATTGTATTCCTATTTAATCACAATGTACCATTCTATCATATGTATAATCTTTAAATATATTCTAGAAAAGCATACATTTATTACCGGGAATTTTAAATGCTAAAATTCTTTCTTGTATTCATGAAACATGGATATCTTTTGAATGACACAATGTTGTGTAATTATCAGCAATTTCCAATGTATTGCTTGCTGAGATAAAATATTCTGTTTCCCTTAAAACTGTCTGTGGAGGAAGTTTAATATACTTAAAAGGGTTGGTACAGCTTCCTTATTTAATTATTCAGAATCATCTTGCCTATCAGCAATTACTACAGCATTTTAAATTGTTTTCAAAACTTTAAGAACATAATTAAAACAAAAAAGACAGGATTATATTAAGGGCATGGTACATAGTAACATGACCATGATGTTTTAGAATGGCATTGTGTATTTATTGTTCAGCATAGTGTCCACAGTAAACATACTTAACTGGTATTATTATTATGTGTCACTGGATATATAGCTTAGTGCCATTCTGACTTCATGCAAGTTATAAAAAGATCTATTTTACTTGGGTTGTAATTGTATACTTTAAATAAATAAAATATCAGCATGTATTAAAACTACTTTAATAAAAATTGAATCAGTTTGTAAAAAAGCATATTCTTTTGCATGCAGTTGCTTAAAAACAAGTGATTTTATTAATGTTAAAAATGGTAATTTTTATAAAAATGACTCTACAGTAAATGCAAGTGATTTACAAGCCTCCACATAATTTTAAATTACAATAATTTTCTTTTTTATATACACAGCCCTATTACAATCAAATGTTCTATAATAATGTTCTTAACATTAAGCAATGGAATTATTTCCAGTCATTTACAGTATATTATAAAGCAACAGGATTTTTTTCTTTTTCATTTTTTCAGTTTTTTAGAATCTTTATCTCTGCTGTAAGATAATTTAGGGCTTTGGTATTTTATCTCATTAGTATCTACATTTACTGTATGGATTAAATAAGAATATGTCAATTCTTTTTTTCTTAATTGAATATCTCTTACTAGAAAAAAGAGATAAATATCCAAAGATCCTCTTCCAATGAGTAATCTAGTTGTAAATTCCTAGGGCCTTCACCACATGAAAAGTACACATTCACCCAGTGGTGGGATTGAAATATGTGAACAACTGCTTCTCTGTGTTGATGCTGCTTCTGGAAGTCCATTCTAGGCCTGGGCAACAAAAAATTAGCTACCGGTTCTGCTGAATCTCACCACTGTACCTACCATGTTACCGAGCCTTAACTAAGTTCTTTTGAAAGCTTTTGGGATATTTTTCAAACATATTTGAACAACTACTCAAATATTCATTTGGCCTACCTCTATTTCCCATGTATAAGAACACAGTAGGAACGCAAATCCTACTTTCTTTGCATAAAGGACACAATAAAGATCTTTCAATACTTGACTTATATTTCAAATATTGGTAAAAAAAATAAATGCACTTTATTCAAATAAGACATTAGAGCAATTTGCACAGTACTCTCTCTCTCCCCCCCCCATCTCTTTGTGTGTGTGTGTGTGAGAGAGAGAGAGATGAGAGTACTGTGCAAATTGCTCTAATATCTTCTTTGAATGAAGTGTGTGTATGAGTGAGAGAGGCATAACATAGATGCAAAATGTACAAGTTTCTTTGTTAAAATATTCAGATTGAGATTTAAAACATGGATGCATATATATTGTAACATCATCAATAGAATTATACTGCAGAAAAATATGCAAGATTAAAAAAAAAATAGCAAGCACCTTAATAGGATCTAACTTATAATGGACGTATAATCCATTTAATTTCAAAATATTCATTAGGAAAGTGTCCAGCAGAAGGTTATTCTGAAACTGCCTAGATTCTTTGGAATAATTAATATTAATAATGAGTCTTTTACCATTTTTAAGTATTAGGCTGTATCAATCTAGGTCTTTGTTTATACGGTCTGGACTTTTAAAATCACTGGGTGATTTTATTCCCAAAATGCATTGGGACAATGGCACACCAATTTGTAATTATACAATTCACCTTAAAGTGATATTGCTGGGCACTAGACCCTGATTATGGGGAATAGGGCAGTCCAATTAAGTGAAGATAGAGATGTCTTCCCACATGCAACACGGTTTTATACTCCTAATGCACACTTTCCATGCTAATAGGTTTGGGACCCATTAGGATTCATTCCTAGTGAATAAATAATTTAGATTGGTAGGAAATATTTTCATGATCAATGTCAATAATTCCAGGATGTGAAGTACATTCTCTGAACTTGAACCTTTGTAAGCTATTGTGGATGTAGTATGATACATAGAATAATTTCTTGAAGTTGCCAGATATCTATTTTAGGATCCTGCTTCAAATATCTATTTTAGGGTTCTGCTTCTCATTTTCAATCATTCAAGCATCCTAAAATAGAACACATACCCTCGAGTTTTAGACTGATATGCAATGGGCTACCTTTGACCCCAACATTCTCTAACACCAACCTGCTTCTATACAATAGTGGAATAAAATTGCAAGGTATTGAATACTGTATACAGCATTCCTTGTAAATAAATAATAATGATACAAAATCTCTGATGGTTTGAGTCATCACTTCCAACAAGAGACTTATGAAAATAGATTTTACATGTGTTTCTACATAAAAAAGTACAGTGGGCTTTCTATACATTAACTTCCATGCACAGAGGCCAAAGAGAGACCAAACTTTTTTTCATGATTCAGAGACTTTGTAATGAACAAATTAAGCTTTCATTCAAAATGTTTGTCCTCTGTGCATGAAAAGCAATGTTCTCCTTGAATATGTATGCCCCCCCTTGTCTTGCCTGAGAGTAAAATCTTACTACTTTCTATAAAGTTGGAAAATTTTCTTATTTTTTATTTCACACTCAATCCTTTCCAAAATAGATTCTATCAGCAACCAACCTGATCATGCTGAAATAAGCAGCAGCATACATATAGCACTAGTAAAGCAAGGAAGATTTCCTTCTATTCTATCTATGGAATGTTGTTCTATGTTATACATCATCACCTGAACTGCAACTGCTCCTTCTGCTGCTTCCTTTTGATAGAGCAGGAGACACAGAAGATAAAAGAGGGTCTATCCGAAGTGGTGATATTGTATCATCTAGTAATATTTCTTCTAGTCTCTGTTCTTTTAAGGCAGCACTAAAAGACAGGTCTGTAAAGTGGGAGAGTGGATCAGAAAAAGCAGCAGCTGGGTCATGTAAATCAGCATCTTGCTCTTGAACCATGGCTAGGTGTTGAATATAGTCTATTGAATTCTCTTCTGGATATGCCTGTTGCCTCATGACCCTGGATGCTAAGTCAACCACACTGACTGAAGACATCATTGGTAGTCCATGGGCATGTGCTTGTATTTCTAGCTCCTATGTTAGAAAACAAAATATTTAGAGAGCAGGATTAAAAAAAAATCATAGGGATTCCATGCAACTCAGTATTATATCTGGTGCAGTTCTGAAACCTAGTCTGACAGTATGCTTAAAATGTAACATACTAATGCGACAAGCCTAGTTTTTTGTGTCTTTATAAAGACTACATAATAGCCATAATGACGAACCATGAACTCTTAGTATGATTTGGGAGTCTAAGATTCAAGCACAAATATAAATGCCTTGGTTCCATTTCAGGAACAAAAAGTCAGAGAGAAAAAATACTCAAGGCATTTTCCTTCTAAAAAATGGAAAATAAATTATGAGATAGTTCATAACACTTTATTTTGTAATGATAACATAAGTTGTATCATGATATATAAAATGGCCAAGTTGCAAAAGTAATTAATCTACGATTGGAAATCAAGATATCCATTTAAAATATTATCTTAGTGCAAGACCACTAAGTTTCCAAAAAGTCCATAAAACAATAAAATTATAATTAAATTATTATTTTATAATAGAATGATAAAAATAAAGGCTTAGAAGAAATTAAAACTGTTGGAGGGGAGGTTCAGTTTCTGAAAAAGGAAATTCTTTATGCACTGCCTTTGTGACAAAATATATAATCTGAGCTTCTTCACAATTTTTCTGGAAAATCAGTCCTTTCTGCAACCAGAATACACACACATCCATAAAATTGACAATTCTTTCTGTTAACAGGATTGTTTTTTCCTATCAGCTTCTTTAAATAGGCAAAATTGAAGAATGCTTCATTTTAAAGCTAAGCATTTTGCATATGAATTTGCATAAAATATTTCTTAAAAATAAATTCAATTACTGTTACAATTATTCTCTCAGCACAATACTCTTTCACTTTAATATCTCCCAACAATAGAAAGAGAAAGAGAGAAAGAAAAAAAGGGAAAAGAAAAACAGAGAGAGAGTCAAATATTTGAATAACTAATGAGTCTGAACTAAACATCTGTATAGAGTGCTAAAAATAAAGCTTTTATTCCATTTTTCTCCAAAATTTTCAAAGCAAAAACAAAAACATTTTTCTTCTTTTGCTTCAGAGTTTTCAGAAATATTAAATATCTGGTTTATCCTTTGTTACTTAGTACAGGTGAGATTGGAAACCTTTGCTTTCTCTTTATAAGCTAATGAAATTTTAGCATCATTCCTACATTGCTTATACCTTATAATTAATTGAATTAAACCAGTTTTAAACATTTATAAATCAAGCTGTCTTTTCCATAAAGTAGAAATTGATTTAAACTGTATATATGTATGCGTGTGTGTATCTTTCAATATTTGTAAACTAACCCAACTAGCAATACTGGGTACATAACAAATATTAAAATAGTATAATGATATAATAAACAAAAATAATATTATAAAATATTAATAATAATATTAACAATTTTAAATTTACTAATTTAAGAATATTAACATATACATATTTTAATAATCTAAAATATTATCAGGTGGTCTTCCTACTTTGCTTATAGATGCAATTCTGCTGGTAGAATGAATTCTTAATATCCTCCATGATACAGGTGACCTCTGAAGAAGACAGAAGTCAGATACGATACTGAGAAAATGAGTGAGAGGGAGTTCTAATGTATGAATAAAGAATGGTTGCTTAATATAACTATTTAGCAGGGCTTTTTAATTATGGGGAAGCAGTGATCGTATGGAGGCAATTGCCTGGGCTTAACTCATATTGGGTTCAAATCCAAAGAAATTAAATTATCTGAAATTATCAAGATCACATTTTTAATTCATGTAAAAAAAAATAATCAGTTGAAGTATGATCCTAATAGATATTCTATTTGAAATTCTTCACAAATTCCCACTGTCTGGCTTCTTGAATTCAACAGACCAAAAATAATCAAAGTGGGGGACCGTGACTCAAGTACATGTTTTGCTGCATACCTCTCAGAATTTTAAAATGCCCACAATTTCACATGTTGCACTGTGATTGTTTTTATAGAAACAATTATTGTTTCCAGTAAACATCTATTTACAATGTTATGAATATTCCAGCTAAAGTATTTTCAAATCCTCTAATTTCGCTGAGTGTTTTTTAATGCTGTGTTACTTGGAAGTCCTATTGATCTTACTGGAGTTTAATACTCTGTTATCTAAGATCACCATACCTTACAACACAGTCATATACATGTCTATTTAATTTTAATTTAAGCTATGGCAAACCACTTCTGAAATCTTGCCAAGAAAACTGCAGGGACTTGTCTGCGTTATTGTGGCTGATGATTATTTGCTTGATTTTGGTTGCACTATTTACCTCTGAAAATGAAACAGGCCCAAGTGGGTTTTGCTTTGAATTAAATACTTAATACTTAATTAAATACTGTGACTACACACTAATTCTCTTACAACATTCAGGAATGCTATCTAGAACCTTATCCAATTAAAAACTGTAGATCAATCACAGTCTATTATAGGAAGTGACCAGAAAATTACATGCTGCTTCATTTGATGTTGGACAATATACCCCAAAATAAAAGGTTAGGAACATTTTTCAAAGTGTATCTTAAGTTTCCAAGTAATTACGGTTTAGATCTATGTGTATGTGTTTTATAATCATTGAATACAGTTTGATGATGTAAAAGCTGTAGCAAAATCAAAAGATGGAGATAGGAAGAGGTTGGCTTTGAACGAGCATTTTTCTCTACAAACCTGAATTCGTAGCAACAGTCGTCTGTTAGCCTGCTCTAATTTCTTCTGTCTCTGCTCTAATTCTTGAGCTTTCTGTTGTTCTTTCTGTAACCACTTGATATATTCCACTGATGCCTTTAAAATAGTTCCTTTATTCCAGCGCATATCACTGTAGAAAGTAATGATAACCTTTTCACAATTGTGCATGTCAGCAAAATTTATAAAAATGTACAAAATCTTTTATATTAATATGAAATAATGATTTACATGATCATTATTCATGCTTAGATATTATTGCTTCTGAATGGAAATTTTAATAGAATAGTTAAAAAGCCCTTATATATTAAAATTAATCCCAGAATGAAAATAAATGTCAAAAGAACGTAATAAAGTGACTTTTTGTGTGTAAGATCTAAATGCAGATTCATGATTCTACTTTTATAGTCTTTATATTTTTAGTAAAAATGCTTTTGTTATTAACTTTGATTAAAATCTGTGTAGAATTCTCCATTAATGAACTAAGAACCATACATTACTGACAATTTAAGCATAAATTTCTGCATATAATTTAAAATTTATAACTCTTTTCACCTGATTTTCTAATGAGCATATTTTTATTCTTATTTGAATAAAAGGTTTTATATAATTTTGATATTCAATGTTAATAGTATACCAAAATCATAGTTTAGTTTTAGCAACAATTCCACATCATATTTTAAAACCCATATGATTAAAACAAACTGAAACAAACTTTTCTATAAAATACTACATGAAAATGCTTTGTATATCTAGGCTTATATGATTTGTCACTGTTAATAGGGAACTACTGACCCCAAAATGGCATTTATCTTATAATATTTCAAGTATAATGTTAAAAATATCTTACCACATGGGCCAATATATTATATGTAGATTATCAGTTAAATTGGAATGTGAAATTATCCATTAACTAACACAAAAATTGACTCCAGTAATCTGCCACTTTAGATGAAATGTCCACACTAAATATGACATCTAAAATTCCTGTCTGCTCCATTTTTTTTTTGTATTTTCTTTTTACTTAAATTCTAAATACAATGATAAAAATGACAGGTGAACTCACGGGTCATTAGACTTTGGAATAAGTGTGCCAAGCTCTTTGATCCGGTAATTAATGTTATACCTTCTTCTTCTTTCAACTATAAAACAAGATATCTTTATAGCAACAAAGTTGTTCTGTTACAAAACACCATACTCTCTTTCAAAATTCACAGTATTTCTACTTTGTAAAGCTTGAAAATATTTAATCTGTGAAAGCCATTAAATAGCTAGTTTAATTATCCTGAGACAACTTCTTTTAAAAAGAGAAAAATAATCAATAGCAAAATCTTTATCTTTAATGAAAGAACACCTAACTCTTCATCTAAACTATGCAGCTAACAAAGATTTTATAGGAATGTAATGTATAAGATAAATGTAACAATGTGTACCTCTAACATTAAGGCTGTGTGTTCAAATAATAATTGTGATTCTCATTTGATTTGACAATGAGCTAAAATTGTGAATCAATGCTCAAGGACCAGTGCTTTTATCATATCAAACAACTTATTTTGAAAGGCTGCAAAGAGGTGATAATACCATTCATGTGTTTGCTGTCATTTGAATGAAAATATTTATTTTACAATCTCATCCATATTTACTTAAACAAAGGTCTAGCTTTGATTGTTAAAATATATGTTTTATTCTTTTATAAATTATAAATCTTGATTATCATTCATGCTTGAAAATTTGGTGAAAAAACTGCCTAATAGTACATAACAAATATACTTTAAGTTTTTTAATTAGTTTAAAAATGTTTTTGAACGAACAGTACAAGTCACTTTTTGATTGTAAAATATCTTGTAGGAGAGGGAGAAAGGATGGAGTTAAAAGAGGAATCAGCTAAGAATCTCTATGTGGCCACAGGTCGAAGTCCAACCTCCCTTAATTCTAGTGATCCTTATTTAACTTTTAGCAGGTGAGAATATTGCATAGGCATGAGTGGCATTAAATCACTTTAATTGGACCTTCTTGTATGGACCTGATCTTTCACACCTGACATTTTTACATTTAATATCTGCTTGCAGCCATCCACTTGCTTCATATTATTATAGAACATTATGGCACAGTTAGTGGTCATTGTCACCAAGATGACTGTTCAGAAGTAAGAATATCAAGAATATTATTGAAATTATTTGACACACAGATATAATTTATTTGGAATGTGCAGTTTCATTTTAAGATGCCATGAAGCATGATGCATATATAAATTGCACGAAAACAATGGGAATAATGTACAGTCCAATTATGTTAACTTCACCAATTCATGCATAATTCAATACAATAGTATTAAGTGAAGTGGGATATTGGTTTCATTACTTAGTTTAAACTGGATAGGAAAATACAATTTTCCTAGATATCTAACCTTATAGCATAAATTTATTACAATTTATTAATGGCAAGATGATATAGGCTTCACACACAATTTCTGCAAATTGAGCATTCTGCTCTTTCTCCTAAAAATCCACACAGCACACAGCATAGAAGCAATAGGCAACATATCTAAATTAATCCAAGGCACTAAAGGACAATAATGCAGTATTATCAATATTTAATAATTTGGAGTAAAATCAAAAACAATATATGAAACTGAAATCCCAAAGAAGCCATGGTGGCACAGTAGTTAGAATGTAGTATTGCTGGCTAATTCTGCCCACTGTAAGGAGTTCAAACCTGACCAGCTCAAGGTTGACTCAGCCTTCCATCTTTCCGAGGTCAGTAAAATGAGAACCCAGATTGTTGGGGCAATATGCTGACTCTGTAAACTGCTTAATGAGTGCTGTAAAGCACAATGAAGTGGTATATAACTCTAAATACTAATGCAATTTCTAAATGGCCAAACCAGCAGGAACCATTATAGTTGGATAATATCAGACATGGACAAGTTTAAAATATGATTATTAAACAATACATATAAAAAGTGAGAAAAGATCATAACACTGACTGGGTATTTCATGGTACATGTAATGCAATCAGGATGCAAATCTTCTCCAATTTTTCTCCTTACGTATTTTATGCCTTCACTACCAAACAGGGAGATCTTGGTCCATCACTTGATCCATCACTCCAAATAACACTGTCCCATTGTTCCTCTGTCCAGGTAACATGGGTTTTAGCCCAGTTTAGTCTTTTCAATCTTTGAGAGATAAAAGTGGCTTTTTTTGTGGAATTCTAGATTTTAGGCCAAATTTCTGCAGTCTGCGCCGAACAGTCCTTGCACTCAACTTCACATTGCATTGCGCCATTTCATCTTGTATACACCCAGATGATTTTCTTCTGTCATGCAGGCACAGTCTCTTAATTCTTCTATCATCACTTGCTGTGGTGCACCTTTTCCTGCCTTTACCAGTGTGGTTTTGTAGTGACTGAGTCTCCTTATACCTCTTCAAAAACTTAGAAATGCCACCTTTGGTTAAGTTTCCACCAATTTTTCTTCTAATTTCTTTATAACTGTAGCCTTGTTCACATAATAATACTATTTTACATCACTTTCTGGGCGACTAGTCAACTCTTTGCACCATTACTTTAATTTTATTACGTTTTACAAGCTCACTAAATGAAAGAACACAAAAAAACCCCCAAACCAACTTGATAGAGATCACATAACACACTGACAAATGTCTTCCTATCAGCTTCAATACATGACATCAATAACTGAATCCTACTGTGATCTGATTGGCTCATTGCCAAAACAAGATGACACCTGATTGGCTCTCTAAACATTCATGATCATTGGCTACAATCAGATGAAGGAAAGCTACCTGATATCAACCTAAGCAAGTTGTGCTTCCTTTTTCTGGTTATTTGGCTATAACGTTCCATAGATTACAGATAATTGAACAAACTTTCTTGCATTACATTCTTGATTAAATTATCTTTCCAACGATATATAATTTTATGGTACTATTCTAAAAAAAGTGGTGTTATTAGCCATCAAACCTCAAATATACACTTTTCCCATAATATTTCCACAATTTTAGCCACTACTCTAAGCATAAGAAGAATGATAGAAACACCATCAAATGCATCCATACTTGGGCCATACCTATGATACAATACACTGCTGGAATTATGAATTGGACACAACCTACACTGGCCAATTTGGACTAAAAACAAGAAAGTAAATGATGATTCACTATGCATTACATTTCCATAGAGCAGGGGTGTCAAACTGCTGGCCCATGGGCCGGATTCATCATAGTGAAACCGCGCCCACCACGTTGCCGGCAATGGCAAAAAAGGCATGATACATCACAACACATCACCTGATGTTGTGAGTTTGACACCTCTGTCATAGAGATATTAATAGATGGTGTCTTCCCTACAGAAATGGAAAGTTTTACTTCAAGAAAAACAAACTGTCAAACAAGAAAACAATTACATAAAAGACAGCAAGAACAGGCACTGATGCAAATTTAAATTGGAACTTATTGAATGTATAGGTAACAAAATAATATAATAAAAACAAGAACAGAATATTGGCACGAAAAAACATTACATGGTCAATTTTTATAAAAGATTGAGGGGAAAATGGATAAAAGTAAAATCTGGCAATGAATTACAACTGGAACATTAAAAAAAGAAACGGAAGAGATGATTTTGTCTGAGAAATTGTGAGAATTGGTTTATTGTCCATTTCAATTTTTCAGGTCTATCCCCTTCACACAAAAAAGTTTTTTCAGTCTTTCTTCAACAATAACTCTAAAGTAAACAGTTATTTCCACAGTCTATTAACAATAGTAAATATTTGGGAAGTGTTAAATGTACTTACTGAGATTATGGTTGTCCTTTTTTAGTCTCTCTTTTGTGATTGTTTGTGTATCTGTGAAAGAAATAAAAATCTATTTAAACAGGTCATAGATTACTTTATATGAACAATTATCTTTTTACAAATAAGATTTTAAGAAAAGTTTTACCATCTCAGATTTCCTAATTCTTTTGCTACTTCCTGCTTCCTTACTTGTTGTTTACAGCATGTGCTGACTTTTTAAAAATATCATGCATTTTTAATTTTTAAAATTCTGTGGAAGCAGTATCCAATTTGTTGTACTTTATATTGTAGTGATAGAAAACTTTATAATACTTTAAAGTGAATAAAGTTTCCTATTATTATCTTGCCAGGCATAATCAGATTTGTATGTTGAAGAAAGAGGAAGAAAATCATCTCTTTGTTCCCTTTAAGTTGCACTGATAAACTGCATGGTTGTTAACATTCTTTAGTTTAATTGAATGAAAGTCTGAAAGATGTTACTTCATTAATTTGGTGAATGGCTGTATTATATACTCTTTAAAAGAGTCACTTATGATGACCTGGAACAAATGTAATGGATGATAATTTATTTATATCATGGGCCAGAAGTCAAAATATGTGCAGATCAATTTTGTTTCCTATAGTAATTACAGCCCTTAACTGCATGTGTCTAGATATAAGGACCAGCAAGGACTACCATGACTTTCATAATTAGGGATATTCATTTCAGAACAAATACAGTAGATAAAAATGTTTTGAACCAGATCATTCTGATTCAGGGAGGCTACTAAATAGAATGCTAAATGGCTAACAGTGTTCCCTACCTGTTCTCCACATTTCACAATTCATTACCAAGAGTGAAAACAATCACATGGATGGTTTAAAACCAGTTAATAAGAAATTAGAGAGTAGAAACAGTACACTGTGAAGGTGCCCAATGTGTATTAAATGTTTATTTAAATCACTTCTACTATGTTTTTATTTTGCATGATTACATTTGTTCTACAAACAGACAGACACTTCAGTCTTTGTTTAAACAAGCTTTTTAGTATGCCAAACTGTCAAAGCTGTATTACCTGTTATTTCCCTTTTAACTGGAAAATTAGAAGGACAGGAAGTATTGGTAAGACCCACATTGGCAGCTGTCATTCCTTGGTCACTATTGTATAAATCCAGAATGCTACTTGAAAGCTTTGAAAAACACAGAGAGTGAAAGAAAAAGACATAAATTAGATATGGAAGAATGAAAATAAATTCATGATTTTATTATGGGAAAGACATATATAAGTACTTAAGAACAAAATTCGATTTCAGATGCGTATTCATGTCTTAATCTCAACGGGAACTACATCTAAAAAACATACTTTGCCCTTATCATGTATAAAATAAAATTAAATGTTAAGGGTCAAATTGCCATTGTTCCATATGCAGAAACTAGGAGGAGGATGATTTGAGTTTTATATGCAGAATGATGCCTGATTATGGCACCTGATGTCTGATTTTGAATTAATGCCATAGCATATTTTCCAGTAACAAGATTACTGCTACTACACTGCAAATATGAGTTAAGTTGAAAGGGAAAATAACCTTGCTGATCTTACCTGAGACGCAAATGAATTTCTAACTATCTCCCTGAACTCACTTGCTAAATTGTTTGTGTTTCGTGCAGCATACAAAAAAGATGCAGTTATGCAAAGCATCTTAAAATATATCTGGATAGAGCATAGGAAACCATGTTTTGGGCAATTCTCTTGCAAAGGCATTAGGAGAAATTGGGTAGGTAATTAATTATCAATCTGCTATGTAGACATAAATTTTATCATCTGCTATTTGATTGTTCATTTCTGACCTTTAATATAAAATCCTTCCAAACATAAAATTAAGCTTGTATTTTGTTGGGATTTTTAAAATAACTTTCAAATTTGTAATGCCCTTGATTGATAGGAATAGTTGATTCATACAGAAAAACTAGAAGTAACAGCTTTTTGTGTGTCTGCAATTTCCCCCCATAGATAGATACTACATGATTTGGAAAGGGAACTGTTTCCAGGGTTTTAACTTGCTAGCCAACTGGCTGGCTACCCAGTAAACATACAATCAACCTTCATCTGCTCTTAACCCATCATAATCCATAAATACTGGAGTATTTAACTCTATATCCAAAGTAAATGTAAATATAAAAACCAATTAACATTGCAATTTTATTTGCAAGATCTGATGTTTTTATTAAAATGATAAAAACACTGTTGCATTGTGATACTTTCATGTCTCTGAATTTTTTACATACTCACAAATAAGCTCCATACACCTTAAAATGGTTAGCATATGCCATATTCAAATCTAATAATGTTAATAATATCATTAATCTAGATAGCAGTCAGAAGCTATTTTGGTGACTTTGGGCTAATATTACCTTTGAGTCTAACCTTCCATGAAGGATTGTTATAAAAATATATGAGGGTGGAAACTTGTGTAATTCATTGAGCTTTCAGGATGAAAGATAGGATGCAAATGTAATAACCAATAAATAAATATTGAAGAAAACATTTTTTTTCTTATATTTAAAACTTCTACCATTCCATCATATCTCAATGATACATTTTAATCATGACCTTTCTTCATCCCCAGATAATGACCAAGTGAAAAACTAGAGATGGAAAAACAAAAAATGGAATAAGCTGTCTTTAAGAAGAGAAAATGAATGAATATATTGAAAGTAGTAAGAATAGGAATAGGAATAGGAATAAGAATAAGAATAAGAATAGTGGGCCATATGTATCTTATAGGTATCAAACAGGACATGAACATTGCAACATCTATCTTGGAAACTGATGTTAAAGGAGATTCTGTCTCAGATATTGGATGAAATAAATAACCATTGATAACCTTTAAGATTTAATGTAACCTTTTTCAATCCATCCCAAAATCTAGTTTCTTCTATGTTTTTAGCAGCAGACTTCACACATGTATTTTGTGAAGAAAGGTCCCTTCTTTGTCCCAACTTTGCTGAAATCAGCTTCTTTGGATGACTACCATTTTTTTTCTCTATACGTGTATGTATTTTCTATCCTGAATTTGAAACATGCAGCTTTGTATACAATTTATTCAACAAATCTTGTTCATTATTTGTCTTGATTCAGCAGTTTACAGTTCTGCTGTGATTTTTAGCAGATTTTTTCAAATCATAAAAATCACCTGTTTTTATTCACATCTTTAACATATGGTCAGTGTCCCTGAGATATGCAAATTTTAATGTAAATATTTACATAATCTTTTATGGATGCTGCATAAATTTCCCAATACAGATTTTTTAAATGTAAAAATATTTTTAACAATTAATTATCCTCCTTTTTATAGGCAATATTTAAAATATACATTTTACAGTTCAAAGAACTTGGGGTGGGGTAGGTTTTTCTAAAAATAATATCAGACATTAGAAAGACTATGTTAAATATTCTCCTGGGTGGAATTTATTTTGGCAGATCTCAGTAATCAATTCATAACTGATGGTGAATTACTCTTGGATCTATCCCTGTAATAGAATGGTGAATGAGAGTGGAGAATGAGGGAAAGAGATGCTGCTTAGGAAGCCATCAGACAATAGAGACAGGTGCCCCCAGTAGCTTAAAGGTCAAAGGAAGAAACTTATGAAGGGCCTGCCCTAATGGATCAAGTCGTTTAAAGAAACAATGGGAAGTGGAATTTTTATAACTTCAACTTGCAAGCTTCTGTTAATGTAGCCATAAAATAAAGCAGAATTAGCTCATCTAGTCTTGTTTCATGTTTGGTTTTTCTGAGATGGCTGACAATACCCTAGTCTAGGTAAACACTTGTTCAGTTCCTAAACACTTGTTCAGTTCCAATGTACTATATGTTGAACTTCAGTGTAAATATATCAAATGTGGAGAATCTTGGTAATTTTGATGGAATCAGGTTTAATGGACTAGCATACATTCCATCAGCTACATTAAGTATTGCCCTAAATTATCAATAATATGTATAATGTTGGGACGCCAAAGGAATCAGGATAGTTACCAAAAAAATGAAAAGAAAATATGAATATGAGCCGAGGTGGCGCAGCAGTTAGAGTGCAGTACTGCAGGCTACTTTAGCTGACTGTGTTCAGCAGGTCAGCGGTTCAAATCTCACCGGCTCAAGGTTGACGCAGCCTTCCATCCTTCCGAGGTAGGTAAAATAAGGACCCAGATTGTTGGGGGCAACGTAAATATATATATACATTGCTTACTGGTGTACACTGCTTAGAGAGTGCTTGCACTTAAAGCGGTATATAAGTCTCATAAATAAATAAATAAATAAATGAAATTATATGAAAAGAGGAAAGGATACAGTGAACATTAAGACGGGAGTTCTGATTATAAAGTTAACATTATCGTAGGAAGGTTAATTTATTAATAACTACTGTACATATTAGAGTTTCACTAAATGTTCACCATACATTTGTGAATCTGAGTGTAAAGTAAGCGTTTGTATGGTCTGCCAATTTAAGACAATACTTTATGCATTTGAAGGAGTGTTTTCCAATTTTGTGGCTGCCATGGAGAACAGGCAAAAATACATCAAGAAATAAAATAACAAAAGGTACATTTTTTGTAGTGAGCATCAGGTAGCACTATCTAACTCTAAGCTATATAGAGCCTTTAGTTCAAACCCTCTGCCAGGTGAGAACAGCAAGAGTTTATTATTCTCTCTTAGCACGACCAAACTCATTAGGTTTTTGCAAAGATTCAGTGATGTATACACTGCTTTCAAAAGAAGAATGAGATACTTATCATGCTGACAGCAGGTCTGACTTGATGCTCTGTTTAAAAATGTTCTCCAGAACTAGATATCTTCTTAATCAAAATGGGAAGCAGGAGAAGGAGGAGGATAAAGAGATAAATGAAAATACCTATTCACTAATTGAATCATTCTGTTTGGTTTTCTTTCTTATATTCCATTCTTCACATTTAAAATGGAATGAGGGACTGAGTCTCAAACTAAATGGGCTGTAGAATATCTATGTGTCAGCTATTACATCTCAATTCTTGGAATACATCTACATCGTATTGATTTTTTTCTGTTATCTCTTTCTGAAATGCTTGCAGCAATGTACAAATAGGAATCAAAATCCTATCTGTAGGCCTTTGAATAAAGCAGCAACATCTATGAAAAAAATAGCTAATATACAGATAAAAAAATTGGTCACGATTTCTACAGTATTATCCTTATTTTATTTTAATGAAAAAAGCTAATGTAAACTCTACATTATTACAGTAATCAAAGATTGACTAATGGTAAAAAGCAAATCTGCAGCCAATGTAAATTAGCTTCTTACATACTAAAAATATTCTATAAAATAGCTGTCATGCTGAAACTACAGACATACACTAAGCAAGTCATGAAATGTAGAAAAAGGGTACCTTTCGATTCATATTGTTTTCATACCTGTGGCAGTAAACTATTCAACCAAACTACGTCTCTTCTATTTCCCTCTCCCCTCTGACAAAGCATTGTGCACAATGCTAATATCCATGTTGAATTATTAACACAGCAAATGGTTAACCAGACATCTTTAGACAATACAACTGTAGAAACATGAAGAACTCACTAACCAAATTAAATTTCAGATATGCTCTGGTAATAGCTAATTGAAATAAGAAAAAAAAAACATTTTTGTATTTGCATTTTATTTGATTGAAATATGAAGGGTTTTTTTGTGTATGCCCCTGTTATATGCAGTCAGGTAGAGATTATGATGAATATAATCAAATTTTTGTCATTCTTCTCATTATCATCACCTTTTTAAAAAAATGCCTTGCTTTTTTATTTATATAAATAACTCAACAAAGTATCAAATATATCTAATGTCCCTTCCTCCTTCTATTTTCCCCACAACAACAGCCCTGAGAGGTAAGTTGGGCTGAGAGAGAATGCCTGACTTAAGTTACCCACTGTGTTTCATGCCTAAGGCATGGTCACCTGGTGCCTTAACCACTAGACCAAACTGACTCTCAAAAAAATTCAATGTGGCTCTTTTGGGTCCCTTAGCATAATTTTACAAAGCTATTTAGTGAAGTAGATGAGATGAAAAAACAGTATCCAATATTTCAATAATTTTATGAAATAGCCCCAGTGACTTTATTTTTCTTCATGTCTATATTTATCCTATTTAAGATATAAGAACTCTGTTG